CTAGTCCGCTAGCTACCTACTAGGCTCTCCGCTCTGCGTCCCTGCAGCCTTACTACCCTGCTAGCCCCCCTAGGTCTCTACTACTCTGCTATACTACTAGCCTACTCTCTAAGACGAACTACTTGTTAAATAGAGTAAGCCTAAACTAAGTCGCGTGTAGGCTCCTAAACAGCGTATTAAGAAACTACTTCTCTTAGTCTAATTATCTGCTGCGTCTATTAAGGGACTATTAGTGTATAAGGAAAGTAACTAGAGGTCTAATATAATTATCCTGCTTATTACGCTAGAGATAGAGAAGAAGGCGATACTAACGTACGCTATAACTAATTCTAGAGTAGAGGGTAAAGGATTTATAGACTAAAGCTAGGCTAATAGCTACGGGCTACCTCTAAGGAAGCGAAAGAACCCCTTTAGCATTATTACGTTTAAGGGCAACATGTTTGTTAAGGGGATAGTAACGTACTATGTAGAAACTACTATATAGGTAGAGGACTACCTAGAGACGATCTAGCTAAACGTGACGTAGCTAGCGCACTACCTAGTAATCCTAGGAATGCCCTAGCTAAAGCAACATAACCTAAAGATTAGCTTTACTAGTGTAAGGTAGACTTTACGCGCAGAAGAGCGAACTAGTTAAGTAGAAGCTTATATTTAGAGTAGAGAAAATAGTAGACGCAGAGCCTAGAAGAGGCAGAGCGTACGCGTACTTATATAGCCTAGAGAGAGAAGCGAAGCGAAGGCGTACTAGACCGTAGAAGGTCTAGTAGTTTAGGCCTTCGAAGGTCTAGTAGTTTGCGCCTTCGTAGTAAGACGTAGCCTTTTACTCCTTAGCTCTAAACCTTGTAGTAAGTAGTAGCTAAAGAGAGGCTATGTCCTTACAGCTAGCTACACGTTAACGTTTAAGAGCAAGTACTACTAGAAACACTATAATACGCCTAGAAGGCTAAATAAGATCTACGCTCTGCACGAGCTCCCGCTAAAATCCCGCCTAATTAACCTACTTAACTACCTAAAGCTGCTAAGGAATTAAGATATCGCGAAGGTATCGCTAAACGCTTACGCTGCGTACGCCTAAAGAAACTACTATATGTTTACGATTACGATTAAACAGATAGATCGCTATCTGTCCTAGCCTAACACGCCTAAGTTACTAGACCCTAAGTCCCTATTGCTAGAGGAGATAAGGGACTTCTAGGACGTCTTCTCGCCTAAAGAAGCGGAGAAGCTCCCTCTACACTGCTTACACGACTATAACATCTGCTTACTTAATAGTAAGACGCCGCCCTTTAGGCTGCTGTACCTTATGTCCTAAGAAGAACTTAAAGCCTTAAAGGAATAGCTAGAGGAGAACCTGCAGAAGGGCTTTATCTAGCTAAGCTCTTCGCTTACTACCTTGCCTGTACTATTTATTAAGAAGCTAGATAGAGGCCTCTAGTTCTATATCGATTACTAAGGACTAAACAACATCTTAGTAAAGGACTGCTACCTACTGCCGCTTATAAAGGAGAGCTTAAATAACTTAAAGGGAATAAAGTACTTCTCTAAGGTTAATATTATCGCTGCCTTTAACTAACTCCGCATCGCTAAAGGAGACGAATAGCTAACAGCCTTCCGTACCCGATATAGGCTATTTAAATATCTTGTAATGCCCTTTAGACTAGCTAACGCGCTAAGTACGTTCTAGCACTTCGTGAACGACGTGCTACGCCCGTTCTTAGACATATTCTGCACTACTTACCTCGACAATATCCTAATCTATAGCAAGACCCTCTACAAACACAAGGAGCACGTTAGATCTGTTCTAAACGCTCTTAAGGAAGCTAGGCTCTAACTAGACGTAGATAAGTGCGAGTTCTACTAAACTAAAGTCACTTACCTTAGCTACGTAGTTAGAGTAGATAGAATACAAATAGACCTAAAGAAGGTTTAAGCTATCGTGGATTAGGAATACCTAAATAACGTTAAGGACGTTAGAGCCTTTCTAGGATTTGCGAACTTCTATCGACGGTTTATAGATAGCTTCTCCTACCTAGCCGCTCCGCTTATAGCATTAACTAAGAAGGACGCTAAGTTTCTCTTTAACGACGACTGCTAGAAGGCCTTTAATGCCTTAAAACGCGCCTTTACTACTGCACTAATACTGCGACACTTTAATCCTAACCTCCTAATTATCGTAGAAGCAGACGCTTCCGACTACGTTACAGCAGGCGTCCTCTCCTAGACAGAACCTAACGGTACGCTTTGCCCTATAGCCTACTACTCAAAGAGGATAAACCCTGCGGAAAACAACTACGAAATCTACGATAAGGAACTACTCGCTATCGTCCGTTACTTTAAACAGTAGAGACCTAAGCTAGAGGGCGCGTCCTTCCTAATTGCTGTACTTAGCGATTACAAGAACCTATAGTACTTCGCAACTACGAAGCAACTGAGCTACCGTTAGGCTCGATGGTCCGAATACCTCTCCTAATTCTAGTTTACGATTACGTACTAACTAGGTAAGCATAGCGAGAAGCCTAATGCCTTAACCTAACGTTTGCAAGACTAGCTTGCACAAGAGGAAGCCTAAGAAGCTCGCAAGCAAACGTTGCTGCGCCTAGAACTCTTTTAGAATCCTCCTATAATTAGGTTAGTAGAGACTAATAGATCTATCTAACAGATTATCGAAGAAGGATACTAGTTAGCACCTAACGGTTACCCTAAGGACCTGTTTATACAAGAAACTCTGCAACTACTGCACGACGGTAGACGACGGTTAAAGACTGTTACCCTAAGCGACTGTGAGAACCGCGACGGCCGTCTATACTACTAGAATAAGCTCGTTATTCCTAACAACAACGAACTAAAAATTAAGATCCTCTGTGCAGTCTATAATGCTCCCTCTAGCGGCTACCTAGGCTAAGGAAAGACACTCGAACTTATCTAACGGGAATACTACTAGCCTTAGCTATTTAAGACCGTCTAACAATACGTATCCTGCTGCTACACCTGCCGCTGCTCTAAAGCGTCGCGAGAGAAGTACTACAGGTTATTAAAGCTATTGCCTGTTCCTGAACGACGTTAGGCAGATATCTCTGTCGACTTCGTGGTCGACCTACCTAAGTTAGAAGGATACAAGAACGTGATAGTAGTAGTACACTGTTTGTCTAAATACTGCTACCTAATACTATGTAGCAAGATAGAAGCACCTAACGTAGCGCGCATGTTTCTTTGCTACGTCTAGTGTAACTACGGCCTTCCTAACACGATTATCTCTAATAGAGGCAGACAGTTCGTCTCTACCTTCTATAACGAACTATGTAGCTAGCTAAAGATTAACCTACGCTTTTTAACTAGCTATTATCCTAAAACTAACAGGCAAACTAAGAACGCTAACGCTGCGATAGAACAAGTCCTACGCGCGTACACGAACTACTAGCAAGACGACTAGGTCTAGTAGCTCCCTATCGCTTAATTCAAAGCTAACAACACCGTTTTAGAATCTACAGGAGTATCTCTAATAATAGCCTGCTACGGCTAGAACCCCTAAATAGGTTTTAAACTGCCTACGAACAAGACACGTCCCGCCTACTAGGCCCTATAAGCCTAGGATGTAAATGTAATAATTAATAAGATGCGTAATATTACTAAGTTTATCCGCGAAGAAATGACATAGGCGCAAGCCCTACAGCAAGAATACGCGAACCGTAAACGCCTACCTGCACTAGCTTACAAAGCTAGCGACGAGGTATAGCTAGATGCGCGTAACATCTAAATACAACGACTATTAAAGAAGCTCGACTAGAAGAACCTAGGACCCTACCGAATAACCAAGAAGGTCTCCTCCTATGCGTACTGCCTCTATCTACCTAAATCTATAAAGATACACCCTGTATTTTATGTATCCCTCCTTCGTCTAGTAGCTAAAGAAGACAATTACATACCTAGCTAGAATGCATCGCTACCCAAACCTGTCGTTGTAGATAACGAAGAAGAATACTTTGTGGATAGCGTCGAAGGTCTCCGCTTTAACAAGCGTAGAAAGAGATATAAGTATTATGTAAAATAGACTAGTTACAATAAGTTAACCTAGGAACCTGCCTTAAACCTAAAGGATAACGTAGCTGTAGCTGCTTTCTACGAAAGATTTCCTAATATCCCTAAACCTTTATTGTTACAATTAACGCTTACAGGAGCTCGAGAATAAGAGGGGGGTACTGTTACAGTAACTACTGTAGTTCCCTTAACACTAAACGCGCTACAGAATCTAAGTGCTCTGCTAAGCACCCGAATTCTACTAATTAGCTAGCTAGGCCTAGCGCTATGCGCACGGCCCCTATTAATAACTTCTTACTGCCTGTACATGCTAATTCTGTTTCCTTACGCAACGTCTTGTATTACACTAGATATCGTACGTAGCCACAATTAACGCTTCTAGCAAGCTCTTAAAACACGTGCGCGTAGCATCTCGTAATAGTGTAAGGCAGACTTTACGCGCAGAAGAGCGAACTAGTTAAGTAGAAGCTTGTATTCGGAGTAGAGAAAATAGTAGACGCAGAGCCTAGAAGAGGCAGAGCGTACGCGTACTTATATAGCCTAGAGAGAGAAGCGAAGCGAAGGCGTACTAGACCGTAGAAGGTCTAGTAGTTTAGGCCTTCGAAGGTCTAGTAGTTTGCGCCTTCGTAGTAAGACGTAGCCTTTTACTCCTTAGCTCTAAACCTTGTAGTAAGTAGTAGCTGAGGAGAGGCTATGTCCTTACAATTAGGCCGCAACACTAAGGTTTAGCGCTAGCCGCTTACAGAAACTATATTAACAGCCTCACTAACAGCCTTATTAACAGCCTAGAATATGCCTCCGCAACACTATGTATCAATCTTATATTAGTTAATCTAGTTAGTTTAAGAGTTCTGAACTGAACTAACTGATAAGACGAGAGATCCAAACTGACACTGAACTGACTGCCAAGCAATCAGTCAGTCAGTCAGTCTCATCAGTTTGGATTGATTGTTAGTAACTCTGCTCTATATGCTGAATGAATGGGGAGTGACGCCAGCTGAAAACGAGTAGGTTCCGGCAGCGATGCCGAAGACATCTGGGGCGTATTCGGCGATACCAAAGAGGGCTGTGGCGTTGGGGAATGTGTAGAGGAGGGTTGGGGAGGGCTTGGAGGAGGTGGGGTCCAGGTTATAGAGATCCGGCGTCGTGAGTAGGGTCAGAAGGAGTGCGTTGTTGTGGCGGACGGCGATGTTTTCAATCCATGTGCCGTTGGGGAACTGGTATATGAGGGTCGTGTTCGGGTTGGATGATGCTGCGAGCAGGGGCAGGACGAGGGCAGAGAGGAGGGCAACAAGGGAGAGCATCGCGAAGGGGGAGGTGAGGTGACTTCGGGCAGCAGGTACTGGTTTCAAAAGCATCCGTGTATCTGCTCAATTATATCAGGCCAGACGAACACCTTTGTACGCGACGCATAGTGACCTCCATCAACGTGCGATAGTATGGACGAGGGCTTTCGACAATCAAATCTTTGACAGATCAGTCACGCACCGAGAATTTTCGGATGCAGGGGTATATGAGCGCAAATGACCGGGGACGTATTCGTGAGGGCTCGCATGTTGACGTTATGTTCGTAAGCTTACGAAGTACGGTAATGGCGTGGGCGTGCGGGAACCGTTCATGATGGCGTCGACACGAAGTGGGGCCGCTGAGGTAACTAAGCCTAATATGGATAACGTGGTTCACAAGCGAGCGCCCCACCCAAGCGAGCGCCCCACGAAACACTAGCGCAGCGCACGCGCAGCGACAACACGCAATGTCACAACAACACCAAGCTCTAAGACTCTATACTGAAGGCGACGTACAGCTTGCTGTCTCTGATGTTTAAAGTAGCCAAGTAAAAAGCCTACGACGCGCTGAGGCAATCTACAACGTTCCCCGAAGGACGATACAGCGGCGCTGCGACGGAAAGCGCCCTCGACGCGATTGCGAGCTAAACTTAAAACGCCTTACTAAGCTAGAAGAGGAGGTAATTGTACAGCGTGTACTTAAAGAGAGTCTACGTGGAATACCGCCCTCGAAGGCGCACGTACAAGATATAGCGGATAGACTGCTAAGGGAGCGTAGTAGGAAGCCTACGGGCAAGAACTAGATTAATAACTTTATTAAGCGTACACCTGAGCTGCGCACGCGATGGAGCCGTCCGTACGATCGCCAGCGAGCTGCCTGCGAGGACCTAGCGATTATCTGGCCTTAGTTTAGCCTAGTTTAATCGATAAAGGCAAAGTATAGTATTATAGATAAGGATACCTAGAACTTTGATAAGTCTAGCTTTATAATAGGCAAGATATCCTCTTAGCTTGTTGTTACAGGCTTAGAGAAACCTAGGAAATAGAAGAAACTACAGCCTGGTGATCGCGAGTAGGTTACCCTAGTACAAGGCGTCGCTGCGACAGGGCGCGTTATCCTACCCTTCCTTATCTTTGCAGGCAAGGTCCTTATTACCTTCTAGTTCGCAGATCTACCTTATAATTAGATTATCGCTGTCTCTCCTACTAGCTGGATCAATAACGACCTTGCGCTTGTGTAGCTTAAGCACTTTAATGCCTATACGAAGGCGTCTTCTGCTAAGGCGTACAGGATGCTTATTATCGACGGCTATAAGAGCTACTGCTTAACAGAATTCTAGGACTACTGCAAGGAGAACAAGATTATCGCTCTCTGCATGCCATCTTACTCGTCGCACCTCCTGCAGCTTCTTGACGTTGTCCCCTACTTACTATTAAAGCGCTACTACGGCGATAGGATCTCGCTCTTGGCACGCAGCCGCATCTACTATGTTAACAAGGAAACCTTCCTACTAGCCTTTTGTGAGGAGTAGTTGGACAGGCACTGAGATATCAGTATAGGCTTGTATTGAGACGAATCCTTGAGGAGCTATCAAGCCTCTTAGAGGGATGATATATACCTACGTCACGTGATTGTGGCTGGTGTAATCCGACGGTGCCCCGAAGGGTTCCTGGTAGCTCACCAGTCTGTGGCTGGAATCCTGTAGTGATGGAACATCGTGACAATAGCCCCCCCCCCTTCTTAAGAGTCGTCCTAACTCTTACAACGGTCTTTGCAATGTCAGCGCAATACTTTTACGCTTAGAGCCCGTCCGCGCTTCACGTCACCGTGTCGCTGTCGGCGTTGGTCCGATCACTGCCCGTTGTCATCCCGCGACCCAAACGCTAGGGGCATGTAAAAAACCTCTATAAGGAAAAAATCTTACTATGCTCCGCGCACTTCGGGTTGCCATGGCCGCAGCCACATTACCTAGCTATCTCCCAGCTTCACCGCGGTAAATAATAGGGTGTTTAGCCTGTTTGTCTTATAACTATCTAGCACGTAGCTTAGTGTTTGCGTAGTGTTGTTAGGGTGTTAAGCGCATTTTGCTGTGTTTACGACCCTATAGTGAGGCAAGCGGTAAGGCACCGCTGCGACTACGGAGACCCCTCGGGCATGTAAGAGCGCGAGGTAATAGGGTATAAGTTGCAGTGTTTTAGAATCTTTTCTGCATCCAACCTTCATCACAACGACAACAACAGTCTACCGCATCAACACCACAATGACCATCCACGCCAGCACCATCTCCGGCGCCGTCCCTTCGAGCAGCATCCCGTCCCACATCTATAACCTGCCTTAGCACCTGCAAGCCCAGCCTTAGCTGGTGAGGTTCGCCTACCAGTCTTGCCTTGTGGCGAAGTCGGGTTGTTCTCCTGTAAGTGCTGGTTGCCATCGCAATGGTCCTTGCTAATGTCTTACAGGTTGATCCTCCCTTCCGCCGCGCCGTCAACCTGCTCATGTACCTCGTTGATTACGCTACCCGCAAGAGCGTCAACGCCATAAGGGATAGTAGCTACTCGGAGGGACAAGAGCAGGAGATGTTCGACGCCGACGAGAACATCCGCGAGTACTAGAAGCGGGCCTTCGACTACGCGAAGGAGCTCCGTACCGCGTTCTCCGAACATGCCGCCCAGGTCAAGCGTAAGATTACCCGCTCTAAGATGTCCGACGTTAAGTAGGCCAAGGCGCGTCAAGTCTCCCGCACCTTCAACCTTAAGCGCTATACTGCTAGCTTAGGTTCTCAGGGTTTGAACGCGCCTTTTAATGTTGTGGTGGACGCTGGCCTTAAGAGGGCTTCATTCTCTAAGGATAGTACCGCGTCAGGACGAGAGAAGCGCTAGTACTACTATGGTCGTGAGGTTCCGGGCGGTCATAAGGTTCAGGCGCCATATCTAAATGTGAGTAAGGCCGGCAGCTCCCCGACTAAGCGCCGTTACAACTCCGAACGTCGTTCCTCTAATGCCCTGATAGGAGGAGCTAGTAACTTCCCCAAGGGTAACTAAGGTCTCTAGTGGTTCTTCTAGGGTTCGTAGTGTATTTGTAGAATAACATCTTCTTCTAAGAACTTAGTTTTGTTGTCCTAGTAATGCTTTCTACTTTACGCATAACATAGGGTTGCTCACAGCTTCCCCTTGCGTCCCCTCCCTCTCTTAGACCCTTAGGTCTAGCGCCAAGTTGTTGGCGTGGCCATAGGCCGTCCTTGGGCCGTACGGCTCCCGCCGCGTGCCCGTGATACGTCCCTTAGGTTGGCCATGTATTCTGCGAGGATTTACTCGCAGTTGTCCAAGTAGTCTTCCGGTTCCCAGGTGCAATCCTAGGTTGGCCATCCCAGCCACTTAACCTTGTATTCCTAGCCTCTTGCCGTAGTCTCCCTGTGTTCTAGGATGCCTTCTACCTCGTATCTGTCTCCTGCGGAGACATCTTCTAGTATCTAGATCGGTCCTAGTTTGAACTTAGTAAACTCAAAGGGTTCGTTCCAGGGTTCTAGGAGTGCGATGTTAAAGACGGGGTGTATACGGGCCATCAACGGAGGGAGGTCGAGTCTGTATGCCAGCTTACCGATCTTCTTAGTGACCGTAAATAGTCCTAGGTACCTAGCATCCATCTTCTTAGAGGGTCGGCTCGTAGTAATGTTCTTTGATCGAAGCAAGACTAAGTCGCCTTCCGCGAAGTAGAGCGGTAGTCTAGACGTGTTGTACCATTTCGCGTTCGTACGCTAGGCTTTTTCCAAACTAGATTTAGCTGCGCTGCTCATGTCCGCCCACTCGGTAAGTCGGTAGCTAACCTGCCGTCGCAGTTCCGGTGTTAGCCCGCCTTCTGCCCATGATGTAGGTAGTTTTCGCAACTAATACTCATCAGGTACTCTATTAAACCCCTTAGGGTTTGTTCCAAAGGCTACTCTTATGGGCGATTGCCCGTGTGCAGAGTGTTCCTTCGAGTTGTATGCGTACTCCGCGTAGGGCAGCAGGCCGACCCAGTCGTCCTGCCGGTATCCTATGTAGATGCGGAGGTAGGTTTCTAGTTCCTAATTCTGTCGTTTAGTCTACCCGTCTGTCTAAGGGTAGAACGCAGTGCTCAGGCAGTAGTCTATCTTTAGGTAGAAGCATATGTCTGACCAGAACTGGCTGGTGAAGACTGAGCCTCTGTCCGACACCAATGTGTCAGGCAGACCCATCTTTAGGAAAAATTGCCGTAGTAGGATGTCAGCGACGCCCTAGGCAGTTATCGTCTTTGCTACGGGGAGGTAACGGACGTATTTCGAGAACCTGTCCACTAAGACAAGGATTGCATCGAAAGTGTTTCCTTGATCATCTTGTGACTTCGGCAGGTCAGTAACGAAGTCTAAGGAGTAATGCCGCCATGCGGTATCTGGCACTAGTAGAGGGACAAGTTGCCCCCATAGCTTATGCCTGCGGATCTTGTTCAGCTAACAGGCGGCGCACCGCCAGATGTATTCACTAACGTCGCGCTTCGCATGTGGCCACCAGTACTTCATTTTAAGGACCGCGACCGTCTTGTCAACGCCGTAGTGTCCGCCTATAGGATCATCGTAATTCCTTATAAGGAGGTTCGCGCGGAGTGCTGCGTCTTCGGGTATCCACACTTTCCCGTTCCTGCGCAAGATACCAGTAGGGTCAACTTCCCACATATTGGCTGTCTTATTCGCCTCGCCCTCCGCTCGACGCGTCAGCGCTTCATTCCCGTGATGGGCCCAATCACGTTCCTAAACCAGTCTAATGTGTTGGAGTAGGAGGTCTGGGGGTTCCAGTGCGAAGGCGTCATCGCCTTGCGCAGCTTCATGCGCCAGGCTGTTTGGCGAGAGGTATTTGCTGTTAAGGCTTTAGAGGAGGCCTTAGGCTACATCAAATTTCTCTCCCCTAGCTTCGTAGGTTTCCTCCTCGCACTAGCATTCTTTGCCTGTAGGTTAAGTGCGAGGTAGGACGGGCGACTCATCGCCGGGGTCTAACAACGTGTCAGG